TTTGTCAAACGTGACTTACCGGTGAGAACATATTTTCATGCAATACTGTTATTTATAATTACATCACATGTCGTAAAAATAACGTTCATCAAGTGTCAGTATCAAAGCTCACTATCAGAAATACTTGTACGTTACTTTAAAACGCATTACCAGATGACATTAAACAAATTGAAGTCTGTTAACAAATTTAAGTTAAAAGTAAAATCTTTCCTGCTGCATAACTGTTTCTATACAATTAGAGACTATACTGATTATTAAAAAGAAAAATAATGTTTATTTTAACAAAAGGTAAGGTTTTTGTCCAGTTTACCTGATCCATTGAGCAAATGCTGAGATAGCCCTTAATTTTGCTTCTGGACGTAAATGTAGCTTCACTATGCGCACATTTTGTTGAATTCTCCTTTTGCTTGTAATAATAGTAAATGTAAGGGCTAATTACTATTTTGTTAGCAATGAAGAAGAATCAAATCTGCACTTCACTTATCATTGCAAATTAGTTATTCTATAAATTGGGAGCAAAAATGTCTAGTTTTTCAAATGTTGCTAATCTTGCACTTTTTAAAATTGTATTTTTATCTATTTATTTTCATTTACTTATTTATTTATTAATCTTACTATTTTTAACTTTTATTCATCCTTCAACTACAAATAGTCAAAATGATGGGAAGGGATTCTGGAACTCAAGAAAATGTGCGCAGGTGATCTTCTCCCCCATACATCACATAGTTTTTACTGGTTTTATCTTTTACTACTTTAAATTTACAGTTTTATTGTAAATAAATCTAAATCTATAAAATCAAAGTATATAAAATTTCATACAAAAACGTTTCTACACGATTTTGTTGCATAATTACCCACTTTAGTATTACAGGCTTGAAATGTTCATATTTTTGTTAATAAGGCATTAGTTATGTCTGTTATAAAAATGATTTTATAGTAAGATCAGTGCACAGAAGTAATTTTAATTTTGTTCAACATTTATTAACAATATGTACTTGCGCATACTGTGCAAAAAACAGAATCATTCCACAATTTTACACATCTTATTTTATATATACAGTTGACTCAATTTATAGTGAACTTCTGAGGACTTAACATTTTTGGTTCATTATATAAGAGGTTCACTATATCCAATGTCAAAATTAAATAGCATTTCTCCACAATAATTGATTTTATGGTGAAAGAGATACTGCAAAACACGTTAATAGCATGAACTAAAAATACCCTTATCTTTATTTGCCATTAAAATATTAATTATTTTCAAACGTTTTGTTCATACATTTTTCAATTTCGATTTCTCTAGATCCTTCTCCAGAGTTTGTGCTTTCTCTATTTTCGAATCTGCATTGTGCACTGTCTCTAAGTATCATAACGCAGTCTTGACACCCTTCAACACCTTTTGCCCTGTTGGAACATTGTCCCACTCTCCGAAGGTACTCGCCTAATAACATACGAGAGACATTCGGTAGCAAGGTGGCACAAGTGGCTAATGAAATTGATCGCTTTTCCACACAGCACGATAGACATCGCCTGGCTATGGGGGTGCGACAATTACATGCTTCCTGTTGTTCAAGCAGAACGCAACACGCTTTGCCCTGCGGAATATAGAGTAACATTAAACTTGAAACTGAAAGAAGTAATCGCATGTCGCCGCGCCAGTTGTCGTCCAGGAAGGACATGGCCTTTGTTTCTGCAGTGAAACTGAGTAGCATAAGGTCATCAGTAAGGTCCCCATTTGGGGTCTGCCACCTTCATCTCAGGGGAGACTGAATTACCGCCGATTATATTTTTTCAAGCTGCCTAATGTTGGGATGTGACACTGAGATGATATATTCTTTTCCAGAAGGGAATCAATTTACAGGGCGTTCTCAACGTTTGCTGTAACCAAGGTTCACGTTCACTATAAACAATCTTGCTTTGCTTATTTGTGATGTAAGTGAAATGGGACTAATAACTTAAGTTCACTATAATCAGAGTCTACTGTAATAGTGAGTATCCATGGTCATTGAGGTCCAAGATTACCTCATGTACGAAATCTGATAATCCATGGTTTATTTGATAAGGATTGAGAACAAATATTTAGTAAAGAATTGGGTACACTGCAAACATACAAATTAATGTCTGAAATTCAGCCCAAGCGTCAACAATACTGTGACCTGACTCAAAACCCTAAAACAGATGTTTCTAATAGTTTCTATTACAACATTATTTTGAAAACCATTGAAAGAAACTGGAATACAATTTTGTAAGCCTTCAATAAACGATGGGAACTGTTCAGTTCAATGAAAATGTATTTTTGAACAGACTTTTCCTAACAGTTACACACTGATACAGTGCTTAATAAGTGATATATTGATACTACACTTCAGTAAGAACAAAATTTTGTGGTTATGCTTAAAAAATTAACTTAATAAAATTTAGGAATTTTAAGAAACTGTTGATGTTGCTAGTTCAAAGGCATACAGGAGACTTTCAAAACCAATAATAAATGTTTTCAGTGATAAACCAAAATGTAATCAAAACAAATTACTCAAGTGCATTTTAAACAGCCATAATTTTTACAATTGATCTCGCTAATGATGCAGCCCATTGATTTTGAATTCGGGTGGCTATTTAGGTAAATCCTCAACATTTCCTCAAAATTGGATCCATATTTTTTAATAAACTTGGTGGTTACCGCAGAAATCTTGTGTTAATCCATGAGAATAGGTAAAAAAAGAGAGAGAGAGAGAGAGAATACTGCACAATAAAAATAAAAAAATCATACTTTCTCACATAAATGTTTAGAGGACTTCACCTCATTACCAGTGCCCCTATCAGATTTATAAGAGAAAATACATAAAAAAGGATAGACACAGAAGAATTAATGTAAATTTAGATTTTGATAAAATGAAATAGTAATACAGTTAATATAAAATACAACCAAACACTTTATCAAGCAACATCGCACAAAGCATATCTGTTAAATGTACACCCTTGTCGGTGCCATTTGGTGCTCTGGACGTCTTTGAAAACTAACTGGGAAAGAATTAGTGGGGTGGGGGAATAGGGTGTTTGGATGTGGAGGTGAGAATATTTAGCAAAGGTTTTTTCAATGGTTTGGTCATTATGACAGGACGTAGGATTTTTATCAAATTTTTGAATTTCGAAGTTTTCCAATAGATTTAATTTTGGCTCTTCCACGTGTAAAAGTTTTCTTTTCCATGTGTAAAATTTTGACATTTTTGTTGGGGTCGATAGTATGATTGTTTTCTAGGAGAAGCGAAGCAAAACTTACTCTTATACAACCTCACTTGCAAGTAAGTGTTTGTACCACACTCTCATCTAATTTACAAAGAGTCTTTCTTGTTGGGAAATATGCTTTTTAATTTACGAGTGCTCTTCTATTGAACTTCATTATTTGCCTTTTTAAGGCAACCTCCTATCTTTACTGATGTAGAAACAAAATATGGGATACTAACAAATATTTTTTCACTTTTTCAGGTGTACTTTGAGAGAAAATTGTATTAATTATTAATTTTTTTCCTTACTGTTGAATAATTTTGTCACTAGTTACAGTTTTGGAGCCATTGTTCACTGCAGTTGATTTTATGGTGAAATTAGCACCATAAAATGAACTGCAGTGTATCTTTTGGTTAATAAAAAGGCTCAAAACAAAATCTTGAACCAAGCACCAGGAATGGAATTATTTGGACCAGCTTAGTTGAGCCAAAAGAAGTATTGTAGTATTGTTATTCCCTATGAATATTAAATTAGCTATAATGCAGCAGTTTATCAAGGCTATTCCAAACGATGGTGATAAGTTTTAAATAACTGTGCAAAAAGTTTCCAGGTTTATCCGAAGCCACATTGAATTTTTTTGGTCCAGATATCTGCAAGCTTATGAAGTGTAAAGAATTTTAACCTAGCATAATAACAAAAAAATCGAAGCTTGGGTAGCCTTCAAAGATGTCATCAGTAAATTTCTGGGCAATTACAAGGATCCTGACTATAAGGCAATAATTGTTTTGAATATGCCGGACACATTTCTAGCGTTTGGTTACTCCATGAATGTCAAAATAAATTTTCTTCACACTGATGTTGATTTTTCTCCCCGAAAATTTCGTATCAGTCAATGAAGAACAGGGGGCAATGTTCTACCAAGACTTGAAAGATATGGATCGCAAATATCAAGAAAGATGGGACAAGAACATGCTTGCCGACTACTATTGGATTTGAACATGAGATAGGCCTGAGATTGAACATAAAAGAAGTACCTCAAAAGAAGTAGGAACTTAAAGAAAAATTATTTTGTTTTCTTGGTCAGTTAAAAATTGTTTCAAAGTTTCATGCACACACACTCCTCTTGGTCAATCATCTATTATGTATGTTACCTTAATAAAAACATATTCAAATATTATGTTGCTGATATTTTTCTAGAAACTGCACTATAATTTGATGTACAAAGCGTAAACTCATGGGAACTTTTTGTTTTTCTCATCAGAGGAAGCTCACCTGATCTGGCAACAATGGTTTTCATTCATTTATATCTTTAAAAAATAAAATTGCTAAAAAAACCCATTTGCCTCAAGAAGAATCTATTATACTTTACGTAGATTTACATTGATAAACACCATAGTTGCCAGATACTACATGCATAATTGTTTGATAGTACAATTCTTTTTGAACTACTTCTTTCAACTTTACTTCTAGAGTTATTTTAGGATTTTAGCAAAAGTATTGATATTGATTATACAAAAAATCCTGACATATGGAAAAAATGGATGTTGTATTTGTCACCAGCACACCAAATAACATTAAACTCAGCACAAAATACTCATGTGTTTACAAAAATTTCAATTTTGCAGGTTGGTTATTATACTGTTTTCATCAACTTAGGGACTGAATTTATTTTCTATGTGTTGGCATAATGTCAAGTCAGTTCAACAGCTCAAATGAAAACCATTTTCATAGAATCACACTCAAAAAGTAACAACTAAGCCATATTTTTCCCTACTCACCTGGGAACCTCTCGGTACCAATGGAAATCTCTTCCCTGCACATTGCCAAAGGGTCCTGCAACATGACAAACCAAATAAATATGTCACAGATACAATTCAGAAGTTCAATACTTATTTCAACAACACAATTTTCATAAAAACTTCCTAATTAGTAGAGCCCGGAAGTTTGGCAAAATGGCATTTAATTATTGTTGTGATTTTATGACTTAAAATTGGAATCACTTAATTGTACTTCTGGAGTTGTTTTAGATGATTTTCATTTTGCCTTATTTGTGCCTTTTTACTGCTCTTTTCATCATTATTTTCCCCTTTTCCCTCCAGGCACCAATCCCTATCAAGCTGGAAACATACCTGCAAGCCTGGACAATATGAAGACATGGTCATGTATTGTCTTTCTGTGGACGTGGAAGCTCCAATGTCAGGTGGTGTTAAAAATCTAAAAGGGAAAGGAAAATGAAACCATATTTTTTATATTTTTAATTGATCACAAAGACCTGTTTGTTCATGAGAAATCTCATCTAGGTTTGTAAACGGCCTCGGATCCCTTTTGAGAACAAGATTGTCCAGAATTGCATTTCATAGAGAGAGCGTCGTGAGTAAAATAAATTCATAATTGACCAGATGGTCATGTGTAATGAATATCACAAAGAAAAGATAGTTTCATTCCACGTGAGTGCTAATGTAAATTTTAGAGTTAGAATAAAAATGTGAAGCATTTTAATGAAAATTTTTTTAAACTAATTACTTTGAAATGGTGATTTTTAAAATGTTTCCTGTGTTTTAACCCCTACTTTAACCAGAATAAATGCCTTTTTGCCTGCCTGTCTAAAAGAAATACCTGAACTTCCAGGCTCTACTAATTAGCAATAAGAAAAATATAACAGGCAAATAAAAACAACTGAACTCTCACAAGAACGATATTATCAGATTTCTGTAGTTCACAGAGACAACTTCTTCCCGATACAAAGGTCAAAATGTACAAATATACAGTCTATTTAGCAAATGGAAGCTGTAAATCTCACCTCATATTTTCCTGAAATCTCTTCTTTCAATATCACTTTGGGTTCAAGAAACATTGCAGCTGATGGCTCCAGCTCCTACACATGAAACAAAAGAATCATTAAACATCTGCTTTTGTTTAATTAACTTCAGTTAGGGCAAAATATATTAATAAAAAGCCCATTTATCAGGAAGGATAAATTCATTCACAGTTACTTAAAATTAAATTAGAAACGGGGCAATTGATGTGAAAAGCTCACCTCGTAGTCTTCTTCCTCCTCTCTTTTAAAGGAGCTTTGGTTAGAATCCTCCTGTGACTGAAATCAGAATCGCACATCAATTTAAAATAGTATTATGGAGTCACCAAAGACAAGGTTTTACATCACTTTCAGGTAATAGTCTTCCAAATTAATTCACTACTAATGTGGGAAAAAATTGTTTTGTTATTGTTATTAATAATAATTTGAATTATAAATTATGATTATTAATAAGTAATTTGTGGTAGACTTTTGCAGAATGTTCTGCAGAATTGTTTATTATTATTATTATTATTATTATTATTATTATTATTATTATTATTATTATTATTATAAACAGAAGTCGGCAGAACATTCTGAAAAAGTGTACCATAAACACATTCTGCAATTATTTTACATTCCTTATGTTTTATGATTTTGTGTAGAAATATATTCAACACTATAAATTCTCACCTCGTATTCCTCCATAAACTCTTCATTCCCGAGCTCCTTGGAATTCGCACACACAGTGGCTGGAGGTGCCAACTCCTACACATGGAACAACTCTCTGATCAATTTGGTTTGCTCTATTCACTTTAATATTGACATTTTTAATTATAGAAAAGCCTGTTCATCCGAGGTGGAAATTTTCCTTGTAAACATTGTAAATCAGTTTTAGTCTCACGTTGTAATCCAGAAATAGGAAATAAAGCAAAAATCTTACCTCTTCATCTTTTTCCTTCATTTCTCTCTTCAAGGACTGGTCTCTCAACAAGGACATAGCCTTCTTCCTCCTCCCTCTTCTGCTTGGTTCACGGACTTCCTGTGCAAGAAAGTGGAAGAGCAAATCATAATTCAGGTATCCGGTTACATTTTACTTGTTTACGAGTGTAAAGATGTCACAAACAATTATCAAAATAATTCCTTAATCCAGCAAATTAGAAACATTTTTTTCTTATTAATAATTCTTCTGCCAAATCTTCACACACAAGCGGCATAACATTCACTTACATACTTCCAACATTTCAATAAATTAAAATTTGCACATTTACAGCAGTAGCGTAACAAGTTGACTTTATTTTGAAAAACTCTAGGCAGGTCATTAAAACTGTCTTTCTTTACGTGCAGAGCAATTTTTATTTTCATTTATTTTTAATTTATTTCCTATTCAATTTCATATTCTTTGTGCTGGTGATGTAATGTGGCATTTTGTTGTCCAACCTAACTTTTTGATTTCTTTACTTGTTTTTATATACACATAATAAGAGATTTTTAATGAAGTTACATTCCTATGCTTATTAACACTAGGAGGATGGCACCCAGCAATTTGACGGGTGACATACTTTTTATCTAAAATTCTCATCAATATATTTGGTTTCTAAATTCAGCACTTTGTGACTTTTAATATTTAATATAATTCTACACATTTAAAGAAATATAGCCACGCACACTGAAAACCAATTATGATATTTACAAATACTACCAAAAGGATGAAGACCAGTCATTTTCACAGGTATTATGACATTTGACAACCTGTCAGGGAAAAGTACAAATAAACATGATTCTTAGGACTTTGCATCAAACTGTAACTATTGATGAAAACAGCTCCTAGAAACTATCAGTGGCTTTACAATTTTATAATAAAATGAAATATTTCATTGACATTGATCAAATGAAGCACTTGTGTACTGTGAAATTCGGGAGTAAATGGTGGTCAGCACACGCATTTTTCAATGTTCTGGATATCGTGGCCATCAATGTATGCACAAGAAGGTAAGGTAAGAAAAATAATCTCACCAATATTATATCTTAAAATTATCAGAAGAACTAGCTTCTGCTTATGTAACAAAAAGGAGGCAAAATCTTTTCCGAGCAATCAGCTCTCTTCATAGCAGCGATATATGCAAGACCTGTCAGATAGGTGAAAGCAAAGTCAAGAACAAAACCAGGAGCATCTGCATGCCCAATTATGTACGTGGATCGCTTGCTGGCAAAATCTTTTATACTTGTGCACACTGCTTTTAAGCTCCTAGAGGGTTCGATTAATTAACATTGATTATCAACTTCACAAGATAAAAATGAAAATCTTTTTATGCATGTCAAATATTGTTATCAACATCCATTGTTAGACCAAAAATAAAATTCTTTAATAATTCAGAAGTTGCAATTACAATTCAAGCAATTGTCTTGATGCTTCTCTAAAAAATACTCGTATCCATCAAAATGACAGGTTCATCCTAGAAGAAAAGTTAGTTAGAAAGAAAATTGACATCCTCCTAGTGTTAATATTTAAAACATTACACATGTAGTATCTTAAATATGCATTTATTTCTACACATTGATACACTGAACCACACACATTTAAAATATATACATCGACTTCTCAAAGGTATTTGCTATGGTATGTCACCAAATACTGTTAACATAACTTGACTTAATGGAATAAGAGGTAGAATTAATGACCTCAAAAGATCTTATCTCACAGGATGAAAACCATGTCGACAAATTTTATAGCATTCTGAAAATAAATTTTTAAGTTAAATCAACTTTTGACCATAACAACAAGAGTGCTAGAAACATTGCTATTTCTATTATATGTTATTATATGTTCAAAGTTCCTTTGGTTTCTCTGTAATTTTTTATGCAATCCCTGTACACTGCTCATCTGGTTTTAACCAGCCAATATTGACGTCTCCCACAATTATATGGTCCCTTTGGCTTATCTCTAATAATAAATCTTTCATTACATTATTAAATCTGCCAATAAATTCTCCCTGTCCTCCAGTAGGTGATCTATATACTCCTGCAAATGTACCCAGCAAGTCAGATTCTATATATACCTTAAAAGCTAACACCCACAATTCTCTTTGTCATCTTCGTATATCACCTCAACTTAATGGGTGAAAACCAGAACAATATAAGAGCCATTTTATAAATTCAGAGAAATCTGTTTATTTAAGTCAATATTACTGTTAAGCGGTGGTGCTTTGTTTCATCATTAAATGGCATTTCAATTGTTTATTAAAACTACGAAAATACATTGCCACTGAAATATAGCCTAAAATAAACACATTTTTCCAAGAATTTATAAAATGTCCCTTATACCATTCTGGTTCCCATTCATTCAAATGATAATTAACTTTTTACATGGATTACTACATGTTTTATAGGTCTACAATTCAAGTCACTTCTTGTACGGGCATATCCTTTAATTACAATTAAAGTATCTTCATCAATTTCCATTAAATGGGATTCTACAACAACAATCACACTTGACCTATTCTTTAGTGAAAATGCTGAAACGAACTCCTTGTACTACTCGATTTCTTTCCTCTTTAATTGCTATATATTTCCATACCTGACAGCAGGTGTTTTCATATTTCTTCTTATCTATTCCTATCTACACTGGACATTCTGTACTTAAAACATTATGATTCACCTCTAAAGAAAACCCTAACCTGTCATTCATTTCACAACACTTATTGCATCTGTACTCCTCTAAAATACGATCTTTAACTTGCACTTTTCTCTACATTTCAAACACTAATTTCTTTTTACAGTTTTCTATCCATGATCATAACATTTAAAATGCCTAGAAATTACCAGATATTCACAATTTTGACATCTCTACTACTTCAGTTTCAATCTCTTTTCCCCATTGCTCTATTGAATTTATGTGCATCAACATAAACTTTATTTTCTTATTCACTGTCACCTCAACCTTTGCATCTTCTTTGATATTTTCTGGATTCTGATACTTCAAATATTTTACAATTTCCTCGTCACTAATCACTTCCTCTACATCTTTAATTCTAATTCTTGGATTTCGTACTTCTGGAATCTTCACAACATATTCTTTTCCCAACTTCTTCTTCACTTCAGCATCAACCTTACCAATTTCTTCCTTGCTGCTGCATGCAAATCTCTCATTTCTTGGTCACTTTCTCAATTCCAATCTTCATCTCTGTGGGATTTAACTTCTCCTCACAAACAGTCTTTGTAATTTCATTTCATTGAGTCTTCTTCAGTTTGACAATGACCACTGCTTCCCTCGATGTCTTCAATTATTCAGCAAATATTGCTTTATTTCCACTACACGGATTCATGACAATTTTCATTATTTTCTTCATAGTTTTGTGAATCTCCTCCACAACTATTTTCTCTCTATAGTTTCTTTCATTATAATAATTTCATCTAGTGTTTTTTAACAGTGCTTTCTATTAGATTCACATATTGTGAGGTACAATCTTCACACATCCAATTTATCTGACAATTTTTCTTTAACATAATTTCTTCATCCCACCAACACATTTTGTGTGAAACCATTTCTTGCGCAAGCCTTTACATCCTGTAGCATTTTCTGTGTCCACCACCTCACATTTAACACAATATTCCTTCCCCATTTTCAACTTACATTTGGATTACTTTCTAAATCACTATTTTTTATTCCATTTCCAACTTCCACAAAACGTGCAACACCTCTACCAAAAGTCTTGAGGGTACTGCAGGAAAAATCACTCGTAATGCTGATATTTCCAACCAGAAAACGTTCTTAAAATGTTCACTGACACAGTCTGCATATTGTTCTGCATATATGTACATATACAAGAAAGTAAAACAGGTGACTCACAAAAACTGGTGCCTTATATTGATTGAGGAAACAAAATTCTTATTCCAGTTTATGAATTCAATTTAAAATCCTAGAGCATACGTTATGTCACTCTTCTACCAAAGTGATATTTGATGTTACAAATTAAATAACACAAATTGATTCTCAGAATTAATACTTTTTAATGCACATAGCTCCATTGGTCAACATACCAGTATCCTACCACCCTTCATTCAAATTGTCTGAATAGCAAAAATATTTGCAAGCTCTGCAATTCCTACGAATATTGAAAAAACATCATAATCTAATAAATTATGAGTTAAAGTAAACTTATAAAATAAAATATAAACAATTTGTTTCCTTACTAATTCATGTTTTTTTCGATTCAGCGGAAAAAAGGTTATGGCAATTAGCAAGCCCTCAATTGTTATCCTTCTAACACTTTCTTTAACTTGTTCACTGAAAAGTCTATCATCAAAACAGATAATTGAATCAATAGTAGGTCGGTTAACAAAACCTCTTTAGACAGATTTTCAATATTTTCACAATTCTTGAAGCCAACGGCCTGAATATTTGACAGCCTTTGAATGTGTGTCTGACATAACTGTTTACAAACACAGATATCTATATAACCATTAAAAGAATGAAATGGGTCATTTGAACATTGTGTCTGAAGTAAGAATCAAAGTTAAAGAAAATCCCTACAAAACAACAACAACAACACACACACACCTCTAAAATTGTTACTTAAATCCTTAGTTCAAAGGCACTTTGCTTATACATATAGAAAAAGTTATTTTCGAATTTAGCTTCTAGAAAGTGCACAAGCATTTCCTTTTGCTTCCTACATCAAAGCCAGTTTCCTCAGCAGTTTATATATGTTTAAAAGACTGCAGAATGTTTTTTGAAATCGTAATAACACCACACATTGCAAAACGAAAATCAATTTACAATGTATGTATACTGAAGAGAGAAGTCAAGCAATTGCTACTCTTAATAGATTCTGATTCTTATTTAACCTAGACAAGAAAAAAAAAGGCATTGTGAACATTTCTGAGGAACAGTCTGCATTTATTACTTCCCCACCTTGTTTCTATTCTTTTAAGACTTGTACACATGAATAATAGAGGAACTTGGATTTCATTCACTTTAATTCCAGAATGCTAAATGTATTCTATACTGCTGCAAACATACTATTAGTAAAATTTTTTAAAGTTGTTCATTGTTGTTTTTAATCTAAGACCAACAATTCGACTTTATCGTTTATGGTTATACATGCTTCCTAGTTTGTAAGGGATACTGGGATGAGATGTAATACAAATTTTAAAATTCCTACATTTTATACAGTATTATTCAGATTACAAAATAACTCAGAAGTCATATTAAGAAAGAATAGAGACAGTTTCTATCAAATTTCACGACCATTAGACTTCTTGCAAGGAAGGGAACATTGCAATTATGTTTAACGCCTTTTTACAATGTTCTTTCTGATCTTTTGTTGTGTTTGAAATTTGATAAATAAACCATATAAAACATATGCATTCACTCATGCAAAGTTGAGTATTGGGAGATAAAGGAAACCATGTCAACCTATTTTTCTTCCAGACACAAATGTTCGCATTTTTGACCTTATGAGTCTACTGCATCTTCGGTTTGTAGGATCACACTGGTTGGAAAATGGTTCAACAGAAGCTTCATGTATAATGGACACAAGAGAAACAGTTTTGTTATTGGTTCTTGGCTTAAAAGGAACCGTTGAAACTTTCTATGAAACATCCTGCAATACTAATGATGGATAAAATTTACTCATAAAATCAGCATTGACACGGGGAAAAAATGTAATCAGATACATTGCTCCCAAAGAGGAGTTTCTTCAACTAACTTTAAATCACACTGAGTGTGAGAGGATCCTTTAGGGTCAGGTTCGCCGGCCTACAAATCAATGAGGTTATGTAGTGAAGAAAATTAACCCTTGGTTAGTATTCGTAGGATTAAAATAAGGCGTTAGACTTACCGCATCTGTAAAAACACTATCTGCTATTACATTTATTGCGTCCATTTCTAACACTTTTCCCCCACCTAAACACCAATCACACCAGTTTGAGCAAGTCTAGTATTAATTTTTCTAAGTAATAGAATGTATAGAAAAATACCTAAGACACGAAACAAATAATTGTTTCCAACAGAATTTTCTGGAAAATATGTCCTTCTATTTATGAAAAAGGGCCCTATCACGGTAGAAATAACATTATTTCCAGAATTGGCACCATCCCCATAACATAAAATACTCTATGCGCCATCCACAGACCACTCAAATTGCCTATCCCATAACCTGTGGTGCTCTGTCAAAGAGTATATTTCGTTCCTGTCGCTCCTGTGTCTGGGAGTATATATTCGTGTCAGGGCTAGCAAACTCCGTGCTATTCTCGCGACTAGGATTAGCCCTGCCTCTGTGCTGCGCACGAACGGGCGGCGACCTTACTAAAGTAGGCAATGGTGGAGGCTAGTAAGATGCTCTCGACCAATTAAATGCGTTAGCTATACTGTGTGGTATTTTTGAATGTACAGTCCTTTTGATGTAATTTGCATTTTAGGATTCTGTGGTAAATGTAGAATAACCGGCCATGGAGGTGACTTAGGATGACAAACTACCTATACTGCGCGAAATCGAAATTTGGGATTGGCAGCTACCGAGCACATTGCGCGCTATTGCTTAACGTAAAGGCGCGCGATGTCTACCGCCTTCGCTACAGCTTTTCATGGCGCTTCAACAACGAGGCGACACTGCGACCTTCATAGGAAATCCTACTTATCTTTTACAATTTATCAGGGCATATGAAACATATGCTACATACGGATGAAAAAAACAAACATACGGATATAGACATTCGGGTCGGAGACGGCGCGGCGCCCACGCTCATACCTGAATCGTGCCTTTGAACGTGCACATGGCGATGTACACAATTCATCGGCGGATGCTGATGTAATGGCCTGCTGATCCGATTGGCCCAGCGCATGCCGTCGCCAAGGATACGTAGAGAAGCCGCTGAACGGCCCCACATTTTTCAACGAAAATTTCCATATAGGAATAGATTTTACTGTTCTTTAATATTCTTGAAGTAATATTTCCGTTCTACAATTAGGAAACTGAAAAATTGATAATATATGAGAAAAATTTTTCTTGGGTGATGATAGCAGCAGCCAAGAGGATGTGAAAGATCGAAAAGCTATCCCAAACCAAAGAAATTAGAAAAATAACTAGAACGAGAAAGTCTGCCATTATGTAGCACCACCATCATAGTTTTGAGTTTTTGTATGATTTGAGTGAAGTCTGTCAACATGATTATCAACAGACACAAAAACCAATAAGCTCTTTCCACCTCAGTAAAGACATGCAAGAGGATGTTCCCAGTCACTGATGCTGACTTCACAAATACCGGAATTGCACATATTTTGCAATTTGAGTGCAGGTAATCAATTAGAATTTCTAAATATTTGATGGAAAAATTGACAAAATTTTACATGACATTCATTTTCTTTAATCATAAATAGAAATTCACTTTGTAATAGCCAAATCGTAGTAGTAAGTTGTCTCCGGCATTACTTCAAAATAATTTTTAAAGAATAATATTTAAAAGAATACTAAATTTAATAAAATAAATGCTTAAGTTTCAACTGCTGAACCAAATAGAAGGAAGAGACTTATATTAGAAATTGTTCACATAATAAACAATAACATTTATAGTGTTAGAATCTATTCATTCTATCTTTATAGTTAGAATCTACCATTTATCGTGTTAGTATTTATCCATGTTAGAATCTAATGTTTTTACTAGGCGTTATGATAGTATTATGCAAACCCTTGGGGACAAAATGTTATCTCTATGAGTTTACATATAAGGATTGGTATTTGACATCCAACGAGCTAGAATATACTACAGATATAGTATATTTATTATGTACGTAGTAATATTCTAGCTCGTTGTTGACATCGTATGTTTAGTGTTGGATTATGTTGTAACCTCCTATCTTGTTGGTCTGGTGAATGTAAACAGAATGATTGAAAAGTACACATAACCTCTCCGGGTGCATATAGTAATCTATTTGACGTAGGTACGAACGTACCGATAAAATGTTCAGTATGTTTCGTTCATGATATATTACGCATCAATATGCTGACAACCTGTGTTTGTACTTATTAAATTAGAGATTTATGGTTTATTATTTAGCTTTGTGACAGTTGAAATTTACTCATAATAACGTTTTAGAAGATGATATTTCTTCTACTTAATGTACAGTTTTCTACATAAGGAACATGGCAAGTTTTTGATTTTAAATGGTGTATTTTAAATGGAATTGTTTCATGGAATGCCTTATAATTTGATAGAATGTGATGTTGGGGTATATAGTATTATTGTCTTGTTTTTGTGTGGTATATAGCCTGAAGATGGAGTCAAGGAGTACTGCGAATTGTTGCTAAAGAGATGATGTTGTATAAATTGATAAAAAATGCATACTAATAGCTGATGCACAAATAAATTCAGTAGTCTGAAACTATTAAAGCTTTATTTGGAAAAGACGAATGTTTAAAAGAATAATATCCCCTTCTGCGAAAATCGTATACATTCTATATTATTATTATTATTATTATTTGCGTATCCGCCATGTCTGTCCATGCTACACGTTCTCTTCCGAGGCCCAGTCATATTCTAGCCTCGAGAGATTAACGTGTGTCATTACAGGGATCAGCTTTCGGCTGTAACTCTCGGTAAGTGAATTCCACTTACAGCCAAGGGGCTTAAGTACCCGGCCGTGGGGTGGAGGAGGGCAATGGCCTGGGTGCGGTGCGCTGTCACTGTGCCACCCCGGCGGGTTGCGGTGTGGGAGTGGTGTCTAATAGTAATTTTAGTAAAGGAGGACTATGGTTTATGTTTTCAATCAATAAGTTATTATTTAAATGAATATGTAGGTTTTCTAAAGTTAATCTGGTGTGGTAGTGATTTTCTATTTCCAGTAAAAGAATGTCTGTGTGTGGATTGAATGTATGGCCTGTCTGGAGTAAAGGTCTGGGGCAAAGTGAGAATTACAGGTGTTGTGTTTCCAAGCATGTATATATTCCTTGATTCTGGTATTAAAAGTTCTGCCTGTTTGACCAATATATTTGGCTACGCAGTCATGGCAATTTAGAGAATAGACGCCGCTTTTTTCTAAAAGATGTGTGTTTTTTGGGGGACAGCATTTTTTTAGGGAATTCTGTGATTTGAATGAAACTTTGATACCTGCTTTGTGAATATTGTGTGCGACTTTTTCTGAAAGGGGTCCAAAATAAGGTAAGCAAGTGTACTTGTCCGGTGTTTGTGTTATAGAAGAAAGTGTAATGTAATTTTTTGTTTTTGTTTGACTATTTTGCGGCGTAGTATGTTGTTAATGAGTTCTGTGCTGCAACCTCCTTCTTCACCAAACACATTTTATCCTCACGAATATGGTAATTTAATCTTACACGTGTTATTAGCTGACTTTACTCATTGTATGCTCCATGTAACACTTTCTTTTGCCATATAGGCTTTCGGTTCAACTGGACGTTACCGTGACAGACGAAAACGTAGGGTGGGGTTCGTGCGCTCAATGGTTGATGTAGTACGAAGCGAAGGGCTGGACTCGCACTCCTCGCAGCTCAAGTTCCATCTGTCGTCGGGGTGAGCACTCGCGTACGCTCAGCCCGTCGCGAACGGGTCTTTTGACTCACGTGGATCGTGGGCGGCAGCAGCTATTATCTGTGCGATTGCACTTCACAGTTTGCATAGGAATCCGCGCGGACCTGAATGAATTCGTTATTTCTCGTGTCGTCTTAGCGTACGAACTCTATGCTGATCACTATCTCAAAAGATGATACAACTATAGCTCGTTCTGTTCCCAAGTCTGTTTTCTACGAGTCCGTCGTTTCGCCATCCTGAGTTCTCTTTCCGGTTCTTGTCTCTGTCGCTACGGCGCCTTTTCCCTTCGTCAGTGCTTGCCTGCTGCTTGTGATTCGGAAGCTAAGCATGCGGAGGGAAGTCACCGAAATGGACTCCCCTAAGTGGACTGTCTTCCGACGTACTTTGGGTGTCCTCGGACTTTCTGGTAGCCTGGAGACGTGATTGGAGGATAGTGATGTGTCGAAAATTCTCCAAGGCGCGTAGCTCCACGCTGCGCTGGGGGCAGGAGGGCGGAACGAGTATGAAGTGGTTAGAGATAAATGCGCTGTATTTAGTAACGGGGTCTTAAGGCGAAACTGATAGTGGGGAAGAGGGGCCAGAGTGTATTCAGCAAGAGTCAGTTGCGACCTTGCCCGGGTGCTGTGTGTAAGCTCTAAGCTCTCGATGCGTGAGGTAGTGCAGTGTACGTGTGTGTGTGTGTGTGTGTGTGCGTGTGTCCAGTGTGCGCAGCTGCACCCTAGGGCAGCAGAGCGATGAACGGGTGTACAGAGGTTAAAGATATAGAAGAATCCTCCTAAGAATGAGCCACAATGAGAGTTCGTTAAACAAGTGAACATCACATGTAATTCAGAGAAGTATCCCTCCGCCGCGACAGCTGTTCAGCCACACCTGTTCGTAAAGTTTTTATGCTTGTACGTGGCTCCCGTTAAGACATCATGGCTTCTCATACTTCACAACCGTGTACTTTTAAAATAAATATACAACGCAAAGCACTGAACCATGAAACGCCACTTTACCGCACAGGGACAGGAAACCCAGGCGTCAGTATGCGTCTGACATTCAAAACTCGGTTCCCAAATAAACATAATACTATCACACAAAAAGTAAACTAAATGTAATGTTTATAAAAAAATAACTTTTACAGAAGAGAACAGCACTGCACTTCCAAATTTCATTTATTTCTCGTGGCGAACTACATTTTCGTCAGGCGAGGTCATGACAAAAGGAAGCGTCGAAGCCATTTACAACCTAGCCATCTGCAAACGAAGGAAGGAAGGAGAGTCAAATGGGCTGCAGGATACAATGACCGCAAAACCTTCAGTTATGCTGCCAGCACTAGCTGTAAAACTGCTCTCGGGGTATCGGTAGCGAAGACGCTTGCTTTTCACCAATGAGGTTCCGGGATCGATTCCCATGTGACATTTTATGTGAATTTTGTTCGAATAAAACGAGTTTGCCTAAACCTTACCCCTATCCTTATTCCTTCTCAGTTCTGGCCAATGGATAGATGACGCATGGCGCGCGCGCGAGACGCGAGGGCGAAGACGCTGTCAGCCTGACTTGTCTGTGACTGACGTGACTAGGCTACACAACGGTCCCTAGAGGGCGCTTCGTAACGGAGGATTACTCCAATGCGCTCAAAACTCCTTAAGGAGTTAGGAGACGCGTTCCGTCTGTATAGACGCAACAATTTTTTTTAAAGTCGCTTTATA